CCCCAAAACCCCAAAACCCCAAAACCCCAAAACCCCACCATCCTCTCCAGGTTGAAAACCTCTGATAAATTATATGTTATCTGTTCCTAATCTCTATCAATTCTCCCTCTATCAATTCTGACGTCTTTCAACTTTGACCTGTTAAGAGCATTATGGATGTCTTCTTCAAAAAATTTGAGGTTTGTGATCTTAATTGTCTCCAAATTTTCCTTGAAATTTTTGATTTTGGAGAAACTTTCGATGAGTTTTTGGAATTTTGAAGATCGAATCATTCCTTGCTTGAAGAAGGATTGATCAATGTTGTCAAAATGCAATGTCTTGATGGAACTCTTAAGTACACCATAGTCAAGATATAAGGTTGATGGTAAGTCCATTTGACAGTTAGAGAACTCTATTGTTTCAACATGTAAGAGATGAGGAATGAGGATCTCAAAGTCTACTTTCTGTAATTTAAAATTATTTTCTAGATAGCAAAAAATAGAAATCTTCTTCTTTACTTTTGGAGCAATTTGCTTAAATTCATTTATTTGTTGGTAAAAGAAGTAGTCCTCAAATCCATATAAATTTAGCTCCTGTACTTCACCAGGAAAGTAATTCTTCAAAAAAGTCTTATCATCTTTATCAGTAAAAGAAACATAATATCTAGTGGAGTTGAGGTGGAAAGATAGGGTATTTTGAGTGGTGTTGATAGAGATTGTTTGTGGGGTTTTATAGGAGAGGGTCTTTAGGTCTTCGAAAGTGATCGTTTTGATGGTGGAGGAAGTAGATTGGTTAGGAGAGGAAGAGGTGTTAGTGGTTTTTAGGATATCTCATAAGGAATGATCAAATTCTGGAAGGGGATTAGAGATAATAGCTTCTTCTGAATTTACGGTTGTGTTGAGAAGGGAAGTGGAATTGTCTAAAAGAATTCTTTGTAGATCTAACTCATTATTAAGATCAAGAATCATAGATCTTGCTTTGCTATATTTTAATCTGAGGTTGTTAAATTTTGAATATGATACTCCTTTCAGATCTATAAATTAGAGTCAACCAAAAATGATAATTTAATTGTAAATCAAAAAATTAATTAAACTCAAGAAAATATGGTAAATATCTCACTTAAAAATTGATATTTTAAAATAAGCTATGAGATACTTCATCTCTAAATCAATTTAAATTCGAAAAAAAGCTAAAGCTTCATCTTGCCCTAAAAATAGAAAACTAATCTACATTTATATTATCATTTAAGCTCTTACATCTAAATGAGAGTCATTGATCAGAATACTTAATCTCAAAGTTTGAGAAAAAGAGGTACATCACCAAAATTCCAATCAAAAAGAAAATACTGGAGTATAAAGTTTTCTTGTCATTCTTCATATCGTTTTCATGCTTCTGTTTCAAAGCTTTGCGTTTCAGATAACTCTCTATTAAGAATTAGTGGAAAGATTAATTTAAAAGAAAATATCTGAATTATTTGTTGGCTACCTTTTCTTTCTGCTTCTATTGTTTTTGAAGTTTTAACAACTAAAGCGGCATATCTTTGTTCAGCCTCTTTCTTAATAAATGCAATGCTTTGGTCTTCTTCACCTCGAGCAATGGACATTGAGTTCTTCCAAGTAGTATTAATGGCATGCTTAATGAAAATTGGATCATTGGTGATCATATCTTCAATTTGACGAGCTTCTTTTAACAATAATCTAAACTTATAATATTCCTTTCACTCGACAGCTTCTTTTAGTCTTGAGAGCACGTCTTCGCTTTGCTCCTTGATGGCCATTTCAAATCCTTTAGATTCCTCCTGGGGAGAGAGCATTAGTCTATTTTTGTCTCTAATTTCTTGATCCAAGACTAATTCCTTTCTTCACTGATTAATAACCCTCAAAAGTATCTTAACAGACTCAGGTTGAACCAGCTTCAAACTGTGCTCTTTCGAATACTGAGTGTCCCTATCTACCGCTCATACATAAACTTTCTTGTCCATTAAATAATACTGTGCTTCTGCCTCACAAGTGGGCTGGTGACATATTGGAAACTTCATATTGACTATTATTATTTATTATTCTATTCCAAATATTCTTCTCGGGGTTTTGGGGTTTTGGGGTTTTGGGG